TGGCCTCCCCCCCCCCTTATAAAACCACGCCTGCGACGGAGCGGTTCAGGAGATCAATGTGGGTCACTCCACCAGAACGCGTATATGTAGAAGAGCCGGACGCAGGCAAACCCCCAACCTCCGCAAATCCCCGGGTTGCGAAATCACCAGAGTTTGTGCTCGGTTGCGGCCCATCCAAGGGCAAATGATACTGAGCTGTACTAAATCAAGTGCCCGCTTTGGTCGCGAATTGTTGTGAACTTCGACGAGAATTTCGTTGAACTTCAGCTTCAACCGACGAATTTCGATTTTCGCTGTATTCGCTTGTCGGCCCCCAATTCCCCTTTGGCTCGTCATCCCTAAACGTATGGAAATGAGGCGCTCAACCATTCCCTTTCTTATTCATTCATGCTATCGGACGCGGTACTGACTAACTCTCCCCCGAGCTCTCCCGCCAGCATGGACCAGCAGCGCCAGCGCTGTATCGGGGGGCTGTGTCGGGGGCTGTGTCGGGGGCTGTGTCGCGGGCTGTGTCGGGCTCTGTGTCGGGCTGTTTCGGGCTGTGTCGGGCTGTGCCGGGCAGTGTCAGGCTGTGTCAGGCTGTGTCGGGCTGTGCCGGCCTGTGTCGGGCTGTTTCGGGCTGTGTCGGGCTGTGTCGGGCTGTGCCGGCCTGTGTCGGCCTGTGTCGCGCTGTGTCGGGCTGTGTCGGGCAGTGTCGGGCAGTGTCGGGCAGTGTCGGGCTATGTCGGGCAGTGTCGGGCAGTGTCGGGCAGTGTCGGGCTGTGCCGGTCTGTGTCGGGCAGTGTCGGGCTGTGTCGGGCTGTGCCGGCCTGTGTCGGGCTGTGTCGGGCTGTGCCGGCCTGTGTCGGGCTGTGTCGGGCTGTGCCGGCCTGTGTCGGGCTGTGTCGGGCTGTGGTGGGCTCTGGCGCTACCGCCTAATTAAGTTTTGGATTATCTTGAATGCCGCATGGCGTGGCGGCGCTTAGTCTCAGTCCGACGAGACACGCCCGCCGGAAGGATTCATAACTGAAACCACTACGAGTCTACGGGGGGCGGGGCCGGGGCACCACGCTGCTGGCTGGGAGTGCTGCGTGGGGAAGCCGACAAAAAATGTAACGTGACGTCGTAACTGTAGTGAGAAAAACAAAGTGACATTTACTTTTTCACGCGTGCCACGACACGACGACAAACGTAGGAAGGAAATGCAGCTCCGTGGCGCCAACACGCGGAGGGAATGCGAACTATACACGGAGAGAGGGAGAGAAGGTGAGGAGAGCGAGAGAGAGAAGGGGATGGAAGGGACCACCGGGGTGGGTGGCGGCGGGCGGAAATTTAATATTGACTTGCGGCTGGCGCGCTGGCGTGAGGCCGGAGGGGGAGGGAGGCGGCTGCGCCCCCGGAGGCCTGCTCAGCACTACGCAGGCGCGGCTGAGCGGCCGCCCATTGGCCGGGGCGGGTCGGGGGCGGCGGGGGCTCCCAGGCCCCGCGAGGGGTGCTCGGAGTCCCCTCTCGGATGCTCGTATATCCTCCACCCTCTTCCCTATCTCCATATACCGCCCCTCCCCCGTTCTTCCACTCTCTCTCTCTTTCTTGCTCCGCGATGACCTTCGACTTTTCCGATGAATCGATCCGATTGTAATACTCCAAACAATAAAGCGATGGCCTTTAATGTGGACTCAATGGAGCCAGCAGCCAGCACTGTGCCGCCCCTCTGGCCAGGCCAAATTAACGAAGATAGCCGTTTTGGATGAAAACTTTTAGTAATAAAAATAATAATAACAAAAATGAATAATACTGCGGTCTCATCGCCTCTCCAGCGCCACGAGGTAGCCGCCCTGCGCGCCGAGGACGATTTCGATCTTGAGTTGCAGCCGGTAGTCGTCGCTCGGAGGCAGGATGCGGAAGGAGCGCACCAACCGCGCCAGGACCGTTTTCATCTCCATCATGGCAAAGCGCTGACCTGTGAGACAGCACTCTCATTTCAACTACAGCTGTATATGTATCGATTTTCGCCTCTTAAAAATGTGAAAGGAACGCGATAACTGTTACGGTGGTATCAATTGAACGACTGCTTCAGGTACGAAAAATTTAAATCTTTTATGGGTCTCCATGAAGTAGTTGGTTAACGTACCTATGCAGTTACGCTGCGAGGCGGAGAAGGGCAGGTACCCGAAGCGGTGCGCTGGCCCGCCCTCCAGGAAGCGGTCCGGGTCGAACTCCAGCGGGCGGGGAAACACGGCGGGGTTGCGGTGCAGGTGGAAGATGTCGATGCCCACTTGGGAGCCGACGGGGATGGTGTAGCCACCTGCGCACGCCCGTGGCCACCAAGTTTGTTGACGGTAAAAGTACTGCCTCCAACCGGAACGCAACCAGCTCACAAGAAGAGTTATGCCACAAGTTAGGACTTTACGCACTCGGCAAGTCGAACTCCTGCTTGCAGTCTCTCACGATCACGGGCACGCTGGGGTACAGCCGCAGCACCTCCTTGATGACGCACTCGAGGTACTTGAGATCGTTGAGGTGCTGCGCGGTGACGGGGCCGCTGTCGCCCACCACGTCGCGCACCTCCTGGAACACCCGCTCTTGCACGCCCCGGTGCAGCGAGAGCAGGTGCAAGGTGAAGCAGAGCGCCGTCATGGTCGTGTCATGACCCTGCAGGGTGCAGGTTTTAGGAAGAAATTAACGGCCAAAAATTAAAATTTCTAGTGGCAGGGGCGGTGCACCGGTGCACTGCATCGCGCTACCCGCACACTCACGGCAAACATGAACGTGCTGACTTCGTCCGTGATATCCTCGTCGGTGATGCCGCGGCCGCGCAGGGTCAGCATGTGGTCCAGCAGCACGGCCCTCTGCTTGAGCCCGATGTCGTCCTCTTCCTCGGGCTGGCTGCTGCTGACGCTGGAGGCCACCTCGGAAGTCCTCTGGTCGATCACCTAAACGGCGGGGCGAGGGCAGAATGTGCATTTACTATGGGGAGGAAAATGATGCACCGTAAGGAGGGTCATGATGACAACCATTGAGGCTCATTACCTTGGTGGTCATGCCCCGCAGCACCCCGGTGGCCTCGCTCAGGCTCTTCCCTGTGGCGGTGAGCGCCAGGAGGGTGTCGGACCGCAGCCAGGGGAACACCTGGCGCACGAGGAAGCAGCGGCAGGCCCTGGGGGAGGCGCGGGCACGCCCGGGTGAGCTAGGTGCGTACAAAGGAGATACACCGGGGAATATGTGCCTCGGGGACTCACGTCTTTACGGCGCGCACGTACTCCGAGTCCTCCTGTGTCTGGGCGTGGATCTGGACGCCCATGGAAGTCTCTGCGCAACAGACAGAGAAAGATCACCCAGGAGGGTGGGAGAGGGGGAGAGGGAGCGAGAGAGAGAGGGAGAGAGAGAGAGAGAGAGAGCGAGACGGAGAGAGAGGGGGG